TTCTCCATAGTACTAATTTCAAAACTATTGCTTTTAAGTAAAGTATGTCAGAACTGTGATTCTTTTTGATTCTTTTCGTAATAAGCTTTTCGAAGGTATTCTAATATATTCTAACTTAATTATTTATGATATCGCACTAAAAAAATTTTTATATTTTTAAAAGTACTTTAAACTGTATAAATTCAATTGTAAGTGATTGACCAATTAGAAGAAAGTTAGCCTATAAATTTAAATGTATATTATATATTGTACCGGTACCATATTGGTAGATTACAATTTTACTAAAGCTTTTACAGAGCTAGGTTGGCCAATGGACCAAAATGTGGCTTAGCAAATGCCAATGGACTATATTCATTGGCCCAATGGACAATATCTATTGACAGATCCCATCATAGTTCATTGCCAACCCTGAGTACAGAACAGTTTCTGATAGGTCATGAGTCAAAAATTGGATCAAGTAGTATAAATAAAGATTAATAAACTCAGGTTGCTCGAAGAAATTTTTGATACCGTATAAGCACGAAATAACGCTCATGGGCATTATTTTGAAAATTGAATCCTTCAAAAATAGTTTATGTAGTCTTCCGAATTAATGCGGAGTAGCATATAATCATTGTTGAAAAATGATACACAGCCGATCTTTCATAAGTGCACTACGCACTTTCTTTCCATAAGTGCATTTCACATACACTTCTTTCTATTAGTGCACATCATTTGATCCGTCTAATGTAATGTACAGTGTAAAAAATTCGTGAGGATCGTACATGAAATTTTTTTATTTTAATATGAAGAAAGCATGTGATCATGAGTGCGCACATACTGAAATTTTTACACTGGTAACGTAACAGATTATATTGAGAGCACTTTCCGTAAGAGCACTTTTTCCTAATTACATACATTTATAGGGAACATCTAAAGCGGAGTAGATCTTATAATATATATTTATTGAATTAACTTTAGGATTAGAATTATCTTATATTAGGAATAGATTAGGCTTAAAACAATTATATATAAGCAAAATTGTCTTCTCGACATTTTTAATTAACTTACCCAAGGTAGGTTTAGACTGCTGCTTTTTGTATTTTCAGATTTTTCGCTTTTATTTCTTGTCTTGCTTCATCAAATTCTATAATTGATTAGCCATATTTTACATAACTCTGCTCTGCTTTAGATGACTCCAGTATTGGATTCAAAAAATAAATCAACTTTTATTTCGAAATGATACACATGGGCGTATCCAAATAATGCGCTTATACTAGAGGTCTGAACTGGGTTACGCAAACCTGGGTGACCCAGATCAAAACAGGTGAACCGGGTTTCAAATTTATAACCTAGGTCAAATTGGTTAAGATTAATACTAACGCATTGTTTGATAATCTTTTCGCCACTATATAAGTGCCTATATATGCAATTATTACTCGCTCTAATCCTATGCCTTGGCGTTAAACTCTAAAATTGATACACCCGATTCTATGCCTTGGCATTAAATCTAAATTTGACACTATCCGATCCTATGCTTAACACTAAATTCTATAATTGATATAACCCGATCTTATGCCTTGGCATTGGTTTAAATAGCAATAGTTTAAATTTACTTGTTAATATATGCAAGCATATATATAATAAATAATCGTACATGAATTTCTCTTAGAATAGGCATAAGATCATGATAATTCTGCGTAAGAAAAATAAGTATATAGTAATTAGATTGTACATATCATTAGGCATTCTTGTAATTTGTTCTTAATAAATTATTTTTTTATTAAAACGAATATATATTAAATCATAAGTAATTCTCGAATAGTAAGTTTGCTGTTTTTGAGCAAATGCTCTCATCAATATTTTGGGGCTATTGCATTGGTAGTATGTCAATTCACACAATTATACTTCTCACTAAGCATGTACGTAACTAAATATTTTGTGAATATTATATGTAATTGAAAATAAAAAAAATCATATAAGTGCCGTCAAAAGAAAACCTTGAAAGCCCGATTGTAGGTTTTCTTTGATGGCACTCATATATTCAATTACATATCAAATGCATAAAATGTTCAGATTGGTGTCTTTAATGCTTCGGTAATATATTCCTAATACATTAGCCCCATAAAATAAGAAGATAAACCAAAAAAATCTTTACAAATAATGGATGCAATAATTATCAAAGTAATGCAAAAATTGCATCATTTTTTAATCAATTAAAAAGCAATGTTAGTATTAAATTAATGATAAACTTATTGTTGCAAAAGAAATAAAAAAGCCACAAATTCATAGTGAAATAAAAAATTAAATAAACAAAAAAAAACTCTAAACAAAAATGATCACAAACTTGTAAATTGAGTCGCTCTTAAAGACTTTTGAATATCCATTCTGTAAAATCAAATTGGTCAGTGAATTGATATATATATATCTTTTAAAGAATATATAGCATATTTGTTATTTCAACTTCATTCTTATTTTTTTCATTATATATATTATATCTTTAAGTAATCTTTACCTTATAATAAGTAATATAGAAGGTAATCTTTACTTTAGAATGAGCGATAAAGAAGGTGATCTTGAAGAAAATTCTTTACTTTTTGATTCTAATTGTGAGACTAGCGATAATATATCAATTGGTTCTAGTAATGGGGCTATTTCAATGGTTCAAGAAAATCAATCTTATGCTACAAAAAAAAGTAAATTAGTGCATAGATGAAAATATGCAAAATTCAGTTGGGTATAGAAATACTTTGAAGTAAGCAAAGATAGAATATATAATGTTTGTAAAGTTGAGATTCTGAAAGTAAGTGGTGAAAAGGTTAAATGCGAATATAAATTTCTACATGACGGTAGTACTAGGAATATGAGTAGTTATTTTCAAGACAAGCATAATCTATATGAAAATAAAAATAAAGTAAGTTTCTATTAACTATTAAAATTTAATATAATTGATAATACTTATCTAATTATTATATAGAATCAAAACCATGGTATTTAACAAACATTGGAAGAAGCTCTTGAACGAGCAAAAGTCAAAACATATAAGGAACCATGAAACCAAGAAATTTGGCAAGCAATTGCTGAATAGATTATTATTGATAATTTGGCATTTAGCATAGTTATGGGAAAAGGATACAAAAAAATGATAAATATAGTTGATCCAGCATTTCAACTTCCCTCTGAAAAAAGAATTAAAAAAGAAATTAATAAGCTTATTCTAAAGCAGTTGAAAATTTAAAACAATTATTAGATAACACATGTGAGTTGGCATTTTTAACAACTGATCTATGGACCGCACATAGTAAACACGGATACTTAGGTATAACAATTCATTGGTTATCGAGTGATTTTAAAGTATATAACTGTCTTCTTTGCATGGAACGTATGCAATATCTACATTCGGCTAAAAGAATTGTTGCTTTTCTAAAAAAAAAAGTTTTAGAATTTGGATTAAATGGAAAAATAACTTGCATTACAACAGATAATAGAAGTAATATGGTTAAAGCAATTAATTTGTGGGAGGAAGTTGAACATTTACCTTGTATAGCTCATACTTTACAATTATCAGTTACTCATGCTTTCAAAAAAATGAATGTTCATATTAAAAAAATAAAAAAATTGGTTAAATTTTTTACCAAATCTCTTAAGCAAAGTGAACATCTTGATGAAGTGCAACAAAAATTACATTCACAGATTCAAAGTAATATTTGTTCAGATGATGCATTAAATTCTAGTGATAGTGATTCATCGGTAAATGTTGCAAATTCTGAAAAACCTATTCTACGCAATATAGCAGAGATAAAAACAAGGTGAAATTCAAAATACTATTCATGGAAACAGTTACTTAAATTGTATAAAGCAGTTAAATGGAGTTATCTTTATCTGACAATTCAGATGATTAAGCTAATGGTCGAAAATTAAAAAAGCTGCTTCTTTCACCATATGAGTGTGATCTATTAAATCAAATTGTTATTTTGTTAGAACCATTTGATAATGCCACTACTTATTTTAGTGGGTCGTATTATACTACCTTATCTATTATATATTCTTTAATTGAAGCACTTAAATTTATATTTGCTAAATTCGAAATATCAAGTAATACTCCAAACAATGAACAAGGTAATTAAAATAATATATATCTTACCTAGTATTGCTTTTCTAATATATTTAATCAATAATTTTTAATTAAATAAATATTAAATTAATAAATAGATATACCTAACTTTTGCCATGAAGAATCATCAGATGATAATAGTGACGATTCAGAAAATAATACTTCAGATTTAACTAATGATTCTTTTCAAAACACTCATCTTATAAAATCAATGTGGCATATAATCTATAATTCTTTATTTGATTATTGGAATAAGCCACTAATGGTCGGTTTGTTGGCAACACTTTTGGATCCACAGCTAAAAACACTTTTTAGTTGGGATCAAAAAACTCAAAAAAAAGCCAAAGCTGAGTTAGCTCGTCAATTTAAAGATATAGCTACTTCAAATTATGAACAAACAACATCAATATATACTATCTCTTCAAATAGTAACAATATTCGTTGCAATCATTTACACTCCTTAATTTTTGGCACATCTACTTCAACTGATACTACTTCTAATCCTTGCTGAATTAAAATGCTACCTGGACCCCACACAAACTCCTATTGCTGAAGATAATGTGAATCCATTTGAATGGTGGGCAATTTGGAAAAAGAAGCTTCCCAACATAGCAAAATTAGCCAGAAAGTACTTGTCAATTTTCGCATCTTCTGTACTTAGTAAAAGGTTGTTTTCAGATACGGGTAATTGTATTACTGCAAAGCGCACACAACTAGATCCTAATTTAGTAAATAAAATAATGTTTTTAAAAAGAAATTTTGATATAATCTCATATTTTTGAATTTATAAAAAATAAATAAACTAAATTATATTACTTATTTTTTACTTATCAATACGGTTACAATAATCTAAGCTTCAATTAAATATCTACTTCATTTGTATAGTTAAATATTGAAGGATATAAAAATTTGATCTGAGTAGTTTCGCTTAAAGGCTGATATAAGATGAGCCATTCAGTATAAAGTTATAGTAACTAACCTTAGCATATACATATACTAAATTTATTATATTAACCTATTACATTAACCCTTTCTAGCATTAATTCTAAGTATTTGTAATGCTAAATAAGCAAAAAATCTTTACATTTCTTATAGTTTACCTTTTATACTATATAACTCGTTTTCACCTGAGTACCTGATTTCAAAGTTATACGGGTGACCCAGGTTATAAATTTGCATTCGGTTCAGACCTCTAGCTTATACAATACAAATAACAAATTAAATATTTGTTGGTATGTTTAGATCAGGGACAATGATTTTTTGCATTTTACGGAATGCTGCAGAAATCACTGAATCGGGTTGTGAATACGGAAAAGGTTGCAGGTACCACAGAATTCTTGCAAAATACAACTTTTTCTCAGTCCTGTGACCTTTAACCAATCAAACTTCAAGAACATATAATGTGAGAGCAAAAAAATTTACAGAAGTTAGCCAAAAAATCTACGATACTATGAAATTATTTCTGAGTTTGCAATTTACAAGATAATTAACTTAATGAATATTGGTTAAAATTTAGTAATCAGTTACTACTTTTATCTCAAATCGCTCTTGATTAGATATATCTGGTTATCTGTTCCTTCATGTAGTGTAGAGCGAAGCTTTTTTGAATACAATACAATTCTAAATAGCAATTAACAAAATTTATAAATATGTTGTATTTTAATAGTAGAATTAGTGAATAAATATTTATTATTTTATTACAATAAAAAAATTTAATTGCAGAATATACATATTTTCTATATAATTAGCACAGAATTTTTAAATATTTATTATGAAAAATGCACAGAAAAGACAATTTTTAATACACAGAATTTTTGCAGAATTTAGTTTTGTTACAGATGGAATTAGTAATTTTTTACTGTAGAAAATCATCGTCCCTGGTTTAAATATACTATGACAAATATATGATTCATATGACCCATTAACCCAGGTCATAACCTGGGTCGATATTTGACCTGTCCAGGTCATGAGGTTATTGGATTATAAACTTTGTTTTTTTTTTGTTTTTAAAGTTGAGGCCATGTTTATACAGTCACACCCCTCTAAGTGCATGCCCTCGAGAACATAGTAAAAAAAGGGCAAAATATGCACTTAGAAAGGGTGTGCATTTAGAAGTGTTAAAATTTATAATCTTTATATTACCGTATAGTTCTAAAAATAAGCACCCCTTTTTTGCTTGTAATGCTGGCTAAGATCATTATAATGCGGCCCAAAATTGGTATAGTGCGAGCCAAGAGTGCTTATTTTCGGAAGTGCTTATTTTCAGAACTATATGGTATTTGGGACCAAAATAGATGTGCCCTTAAAAGAGTTTTTTATATACCAATATATATGCATACTATAGAAATAATTTTTACCTAAATTTTGACATGCTGCAATATCTAAATCTAACAAGAGTTCGCATTGCACTGTTGCAGTGCGTGATAAATCAGGTGTAGTTTAGTTATTTATTATCTCTCTTACATGGCACTTTCATATTCGTGTTATGGTTTTTACTGTTTTCAAGTGCTTAAACAAGAAATATTACTTTCTGGATTAGGATTGCTATCTGCTTTTAGCGACAAAATGCATATAAAAGGAAAATTTGATATTACGAATTTGAAAGCGTTTTGTATATAGGCTATTAATCTCTATTCTCTATCTCTATTCTTATATCTATATCTAGATCTAGATCTTAATATTAATTCTTAATCCCAGCACTACGTTCTCACTCTGCTGCGAATAACTGTCTTATTTATAAATTTGCTTTGTTGCAGATCGTTATTAAATACAGAACATAGTCAAACTACAATAAACATTTTAGAATTTTATAATAAAACTTAAACTCGAACTCTGTAAAGACCTATATTAGACATCACTTTCAAATTTCTGTCAATTAAAAATCGATATACATACCTTCGAAATTGTAAATTAAAGTACTTCATATTTTAATTAGCATCAGTATGATTTTATCAATTAAAAAAAAAAAAAATTTCGCAATATAAATCAAAATTATTTTTATTAATTATTATATTTAATTCCTATTGCGATTATTAAAATCCACATATTGAAGATTAAACAAATGCTAAACACTATATGATTTTTGCCTCTATTTTAGCGAATACAAACTCCTACTTTCATAATTTGTTTTATTATAATAACAGCCATCATTTTTTTTTAACCCTTTTTCAGTTTTTTTATTGATGCTTCATTTGTAATATTTAGTTGTCAGTTAACTTTTGTTGAGCACCAGCATTTCGTAAAGAAATAAATTTACTATTGAAGTTTAACAAATTCATCAATACATAAGCATTCTAATTCATTTACTGAAAGCCATGTATCCAAAAATCAAACTTGCTTTCAACTTGATATTAGTCACAATGCTTCTCTATCTATTTTTAGCCTATTTATATCAGGAATCTGAATCTTTATAAAATCACTAGGTTTCAAATTTAACACACATTTTTTAGTTTTATATTGTTTTTCTATTAAGATTATAAATCATTTAACATTTCTAAATAACATGTCGATTTGCCACAGTTATATTTATTAGGTTTACTATTCAATCTATCAATACTTCCAACTTTAATTAATATAAAGACATTAAGAACTCAATATTTTAAGTTCAAATTTTCATGTTTACTTGAAAATGTTTCGTAAAATAGCCAGTATATCTTTCATTTTTTCTATCGTTCATATAGTCATTAACAATTTTTTGAAAACCTTAAATAAAGAAACAAAACCTAGCAAAGAATTTGAAGCCATATTATTATTTTGAGTTTAATTGACGTACGTATGTACAATATATTATATATTAATTAGTATAATTTTTAAAACTACATATGTTGCATTTTAATCAGTATAAAATTTAAACTTAGGTATGTTAATTTTAAATTAACAATTACTTAAGAGCAATATACAACATTAATACTAGAATAATAAAACCAGCTATAAAAAAAACTAATTACCGGAATTTTCATCTTTTACCAGATTTTTTTCAAAAATTTTTAAGATTTTTTTTTACGCTGTGCATAGCTGCTTCTCTGACTCTAATTTAAATCGATAACAAGCAACAAAATATATATAACACAGCCTTACATATTTTTGTAGATCATATTCTATTATTATTATATTTTTGTAACAGGCTTAAGCCAAAATCCTTGCAAGTATACATAACAATAAATGATTTTTTTATATATATACTCATCTCAAATTTTATCAACACTTATCTTACTTATTCTGACAACATTCTTTTTTTGAAATGCTATAATCTACAATATTAAACATTAATAACACTACTATTTAATTATATATTGTATTAATTTTTTTTTGCTTCTATTAATATCAGTTTAAAAAAATATCTCAAATAATTTTTTTTACCCCAAAACCAGGTATATATTATTTCTAATTCTCATTAGTACTACACTTTTTTTGTGTTGATAAAACAATCACCTAAGTTATTTATATGTATATACTTAGTCATACTAAAAATTGTTGCAATACCAACTAGAGTCTCTGACTAATGTATATTATGAGACTCAATGGGCTCATAATCACTATTTGATACTCAGTATTTAAACAAAGGTGTTTTGTTCAGTCTGCAAACAAATAACCTATACACTTTGCATATACATAACATTATTCTATTATTTTCCATTAACTTGAAACATATATTCATATTTACCCTATTTTTACACTTTCTTTACCCTATACTTTGCTCCTGGCAACTGCATTCTCTGCCACGCAAACCTTGTTAGTTTGTAGATCTATTCAAAAAATGCTTATATATATCTGATATATATGTTTGGGTCTTTTTTTGTTATAGTGGCATACCGTAAATATATACAAGATTATGTCAATTACTGAATCGAAAAAACTTAAATACAAATTTTAATTTACTTTATATTCAATATTTAGGTGTGCCCATATACCTAAAATTTCATGCTGTAAACTTTTGCTTAGAAGTCAAATTATAGTTATAATAGTAAAATCTTGAATTATCTAAAAAAACAAAAAATCGTAAATAACTCAAGATTTCACTATAATAACTGTAGTTTAACTTCTAAGCAAAAGTTTTCAGCACGAAATTTTAGATATATGAATATATCTGAATATTGAATATAAAGTAAATTAAAATTTGCACTTAAGTTTTTTCAATTTAGTGATTGACATAATCTATGGTATGCATTATAGTGATACAATACGTATTAAAATTACGTTTTTAGGATTATTGTAATATCTATATGAAGTCAGATTTATTAAATGATAATATATATAGTATTAAAAGTAAATTTTTACATTTGATAGAAAATTTATACAGTCAAACCTCTCTATAATCACCAAGTCTGTTGCGCTCTATTTTGGTGATTATATAGGACTATAAATAAAATACCTTGTCATGATCACATGATCAAAGGCCAATAAGTAATATATTTGCGCATATTTGAAATACTGTTAAAAAATTTAACCCAGTGGCCCAATTTGTATTAAACAACTACTAGAGTGTTTTATTTAATGAGACGATTCTAAAGT